ATTTCTAATTGTCCTGCCCCAAAAGGGGAAGCTCCCTGACCAAAGTGAGTGCACCATGGAGTCTTAACTGGGGAAATTCTTACTGATTTAGATTCACATGGTAGAGAAGACTCAGTCTGGCCCCACATAGAATCCTGGCTGCAACCTGTCCAGATATTGTGCAGCTTCTAGATAGTACTGACATCCCACTGCCCATTCTAGAATCCAAGGACTTAAAGTAGAGGAAAATAAAAGCAAAGCAAACCAATATAGATAAGTGTTCCAAACCAACACAACAAATTTTTTTTCTGCCTCTGAATCTCTTCTCACACTTGCCAATGTCCCAAAATGAACTGCAATAGATTAAATGACCACAAAAAGTGAAGGTGTTTACCTCACCCTAAATGGCACTGTAAGGCCTCGGGCCAGTGAGTGACCCATAATGACCAAAGGCCCCCTGCAGTCAAGGTGCTTACCTCACCCAAATGGTCCAGCCAAGCAACCTAAGAAAAGGTCTAAACGGTGGAGTGCACCTTCCATCAGGAAACCAAAAAATGCCTGTCAGATCCCAAAAAAGATTTTTCCTCTCACCAACAAAAATGTTTTTAGGTAGCTGATCCCATGAACAGAAAAGGAAGGAAAACTCCTGGGTGCAAAAGTGTCCCTGGCAGCTGCTGGAATATCCCTGGAGTCTGGATCACAGGTTCAGTTAGCAATGAGCAGTCAGTCCCACTTCCCAAGGGCCTGCTGGGACGCACGCCTCTCAGAAACCAGGATTTAAATCCTGGCAAAACTGATCCAGGTCATTGAGGCTCATATGCTCAGGTTCGTTTGCTCACTGCTGACCATATCAAAGGAAGCTGTTCTTTCTAGGTTTTTTCTTTCTTTTTTTAGAAAGAGAAAGAATTTACTCAAAGCTAGGTTTGAGGAAAAGGAAGGACTCATTTACCCCAGTTATTATCTCACAGTGTTCAGGGCGATAAGGGGCTTTTAGAGTAAAAAGCAGAAGGGAGGGAAACAGAGAGATCATGAAGATCTGCGCTTTATTGCTTGCAGCCACCTTCAGTTTATTCTCCCCTCAGCTCCAGCCTCCTGGGGCCACTAACTCCATATTGTCATTGCTTTCAGGCTGAAGGAGGGGAGAGCTCCTTGGTTATGTGCTCAGCTGGAGGAATTTTGGAGGAGCTACTTATCTCCAAAAGAAAAAAAAAAAACCTAACGTTTAAAGTTTCCTTGAGCTCTGCCAGTTGCAATATCACTTCTTCACAAATTCTCTCTTCTTACCACCATGTCCTCTCCTTCAGATTTTTGCTACGATTTCATAATGATCTTTCCTTCTTTTGATACTCAGCAGTCTATTCCTCACTCTCATCCATTGTTATCCACTTTTTGTTACATTACTTCATTTATACTGTTCTTGGTACTCAAAATCTCTTGTCCTTCCTTCTTCTCATCTAGTTGGCTAGTAAATGATGATATGTTTTTTCTGGACCTTCTGTGCAGTAGCGTCGTGATTGGGGAAAGCCAATTCCTGGGCATTCTAGAGTCTATAGAAATGTTTGATCACCATTCTTGAGTGAATTTTCTGCAAGGTTTCACCATCTTTTTGTACATCTTGTGTTACGATAGTGCATCGACTTTTAAATACTTTCCTAACTGTGCTCTCCCTCTTCAAATCTATAAGCTTCACCTACTTGTCCTCATGCTCAAAATATTCCTCCTTATTCCTGTCAAATGACTTTATGTTCTACTTCACTAGGCAACATGAAACTACCAAATGAAAACTTCCTGGACTCTACTTCTCCATTTCTCCTGATTGACAGGAGAGCGACTATCTCCTCTCCTCTCTGCAGCAAATGCTCCATCCTGTTCTTTGGATGCCTTCCCCTCTTGACCTTTACAGCATCTTTTCCTTTGGTGACCCTCCCTTCCTTCCTCTTTGATGGAATACACTGCTTTCTTCATTTACTCACATTCAAATCTCTGCCATTTTACACACACACACACACACACACACACACACACATATACATACACACATACAATCTGTGATTTCAAATTCTCCTCTAGATATCTTCTCTAAAACACAAAATCTCTTAGAATTTCTCTAAATGTGCACTCTTCACCTGGTACAGTCTACCTTTCATTCCCATGAGACCTTTGATAAAGTCAATGACAAACATTGAACACATTCAGTAAATCTAATTCACATGTATAAGCCTTCTCTTAAGCCCTTGACAACATTTGCTCCTAGAAACCATTCCTTCCATTCTCTTTTGACCCAGGTCTTTGTTTTGCTTCTGTGATAATTTATTCTCATTGATTTTCTCCTAACTTCCTAGAATTTTCCATTTCATTTGAAGGCTCATTATTCACTTTCAGTCTTTATTGTTGCCACTCCCAGACCCTTGTCTCTCTCCACTCACATTTTAAGGTCAGTAACTCTTTTCTGTAAATATAATGAGCTTTGAGAGCCATTTGGCTTCTGTCACAATTGTTCCAATCCACCAAGAGGGTGAAGCAGCTACTATCTGTGCAGTGAGTGAAGAAGCAAGTGTGAGTCTCACTAATATCCGGTGTGTTTTACACCTTGGTCAGTCTTTTGTGTTCCCTGTTTGATCCTGCTAGGAAGCTATTTTAGTTACTGCATTATAATTTCATTTGCCTTGCATAAAGATTGCTTTCAATTTCCAGAAGAGGATGAAGGAGCAGGGGGAGGAGCAGGAGGAGGGGAAGGAGAAAGACAGAGAAGGAGGAAGAAGAAAAAAACAGAAGGAGAAGGAGGATAAACAATAGAGAAAGACAGCATGACTACATTTCAATACATGATTTTACTTCCAAAAGCAGGTAGTGAATTAGATCTGGCCAGTCTATGTGTTATGAGGCTATCCCTTCATTTCAATGATTTTAATTACCATCCATAACTAAATGACTCTCAAATTTATGCAGGTCCACCCTCCCCTCTAATGTTCAAATGCTCACAGATAACATATCCTAGATATCTAAGATACCTGAAACTCACTATTTACAAAATCATGATCTTCCTAGTGAAATTTAATCACCTTATACATCTCAATGATACCCTAACCATTCATCAGGTACCATAAGCTAGAACGAAAAGATAATCTCTGAAATCTCCCAATTCATTAACAAGCCCTATTGACTATATCTGCTGTGTATCCCCCAACATTATTGATATTTTCTCCATGTCTGCTGATACTCTAGTTCAAGATGCCTTTACCTCTGCCTTGTCCTTAGGCGGCAGCCGCTAACCACACTGGCCTCTGAGCAGTGTGTTCAATGCACCATGCTTACTTCTACAGTAGGACTTTGGCACAAACAGTTCTGTTCCTCAAAAATGCCTTTTTCATCCTTTAGGCACCACACATAATGTGACTAATACCAAGTTAGTGATATGGCTACAGCATCTTCTTTACCTTGACTGAAGACACTAAGAGGGGTAAGAAAATGAAGAGGCAAAAAGCTTATGCATATCTGGTAGGAGTCTATCACATTTCTTTAAACAAAACTTCAATAAACTACACATACCCAGACAATAGGAAATGCAAGTTCTCTTCCTGCTTTGACCCCTTCTAGCAAAATGTATGTGAATTCTGGCAATTCTCTTAACTCTCCTTAGCCATATTTCCCTAGAGTTTTCAATTCAGATTCACCTGAACATCCTTTTTAAAACTATTATTGCATGAGATGTGCCCTCAGAGTTTCTGGTTTAACTGTCTAACGTGGGCCTCAGTTATAGTATGTATGAAACAGTCCCCAGGTAATTCTTTTTTTTTTTTTATTTTAGAAATAAAAGGAGGAAAATACTAACAGATCGACAACGTTTTACAAAATAGCAAAGGATCAGTACAGACATTACAGAGTTACAAACAGAGTGGTAGGGAATTAACAATGCTTATTGTATTACATATTGATATCTTCAATGTAGTTTCTCATGAAAACACATATAGACATACAAAGCTAATCAACCAATGCCTCACTGACAGTTTCTTTCAGCAAGGAAATACAGGACAGTAGAACACCTGTGTTAACTATCCTGCATATACATATATACAAACTTTCTCCTTCTTTCCCTTCTCTTTTCCCATATTCCAGTTAATTCTAATATGCAGTCAGGGTTAAAGCCAGCACATTAGGTACAACCTACTATTACCACCTCTTTCAATTATGTGAGCAATATGACTTTACTTAGCCTCTACCCAAAAAAGTATAACTCCACCTTATTGAACTCATTCATTCACACTGCCCTAGAAACAGTATAAATAACTGATACTTTTATCCAGAATCAAGAAACGAGGCTCCATCTCTTTCCTCTGAGCCTCTCTGTAGCAAGATTAAACAGGGGAGGGTAGGAATTTCAGAGTCTTTGGAACACAACTGAACGGACAAGCCAAATCCATAATTTATAGTTAGTGTAAAGTTTTGTACATAATTAGGAAAGACTTAGAGATACAGTTATGACCTAGTTAATTCCGCCAACCAGATGTGACATCAGTAACCAAAGAGAGCTGAGTCTAACCTTCAAAGCTTGGGGAGAAGCTCAAGAGAGAAACTTCTAATTCAAGCTCATGCAAACTAGAGGTCACAACTCAGAGAGCTAAGTAAAATGCCACACACAGGTTCAGAAGACACAGAGTGTAAAACAATACAGCAATCACTAATACAATAGGATTCATGAAGCTTCACATGGCACAGTTCCCTAACAGGCTCTCAATAGCAAACTAAGTCCATGCAGCCAACATGTTTGCTCCCCTGCCTAGTCCCTTACCATGCATTTGCGCCTTAAATTTATTCCTTTGATTCTCTTTGAAAATAGGGAATACCACATATCCTTCCATAAATTGCCTTACACTGAATTGTAATTGCACTGAGACTTCTACACATGCTTAACATAGATATAGATGAGTAACTAACTACATTTCCTAGGGAAGAACAGACCAGGTGCACACCTATATACAGCACAGCTTCACCTGGGCAAAAGATACTATACCAGATATTACCTGTGTATTGGACAATTCTGCCTGTGGGCATCTTGACTGTGCAAGGATTCCTGGGCTCACCCAGACTCCAGATAAGTTGGAGCAGTTGTCACTGGTCATGTCATTCGAAGGTGGACTCCAGCACGTGGAACTGTGGGCCTCTTGGTCATGTGGACACGTGCTTGGCTACAGAGACGAAGCATAAGTGAATGGGAGGTCATGATGTTGAATTTCTAAAATTAAATGCTTCCGGAAAAATAAGTAACAGCATGACCTTCAAAAGAAAGAAATATTTTTATCCCTTGAAAACAAATGTCTGAACAATTATTAAATAGTGTATTTTACTAATTTTTGTAAATCACCAGTGTTCCAGCTGAGGAATGTATAACATATGCTCTTTATCCTATTACGTGAATGTGGTAATATCTTCATGTTGTAAGCCGCGGTAGGTATTGTGTACTTACAGCAATATATGTAGCAGATGGGAGAGGTGAAGAAGCCCTTGTGGCTTATGAGGTACAACTTTTTCAGGTCATTTTGAAAAAGGGGATTTTGAAGCAAAGAGTTATACTAACTGGTCATCATGACACAATAGCAAGTACTGAAACCCAGACCTTCCAGTGTCAAACCCACTGTACTTTTCAATTCACTGCACTATAGATGTATATTAGACTAATACACTACATCAGTGTATATAGTCTACTGAAGGGACTCGTGATAGGGACAGATCATGTGTCCAGTTTATGATGTGTCTTTGTTGTGCTGCCCTTGGGCATACAGCATTGCAAAATATTTCCTAACAAAATCTCTACTTACAAGGAGCTTATTCATTAACAGGAAGGAAAAGAGATTTCTGTATAATTAACAAATAAATGCCATGATTTTTAAACATTGTTGAGAGGAAATCATAAATAAGTATTGAAAATGAATGAGTTTAGTGGGAAAGACCTTGAGAAAGAGATGTGTTGAAAGAGGGGGAAAGGATGGGTACATTAAAAGGAGAGAAGAGTTGGTCCCTGGATATTGGGTAAAAGTTTTGCTACATTCCAAATACTATGTAGCATTGTATGGGGCTCTTCATTTCATACGTTAATGATGTGTATCTTTTTACTTTGAGTCAAAGACATTTTTGCTACTCCTTGCTCCTCTTCAAAGAATACCTACTTGTGGATTTACAAGGATTTTTAATGACTAAATGATGGCAAAATGCTTAATATAACATCTGGCACATAGCATGCACTCCATAAATTTTAACTATTATTATTGCTATTAATGGCATTAGTATTTTATTTAAGGTCTTTCCTATTCATTGTCTTTGATCATGCTGATTTAATAGCTCATTTATTAAGTAGCTATAGAAACACAATCAATAAGTGAGTTAAACTGGTAAAAACTTTAAAAAAAGGTCAAACTGCCAAAAAACTATCAAACTGGAATTTAAAAAAAGAAACAAAAAATTGGAATTTTATGTAGTTGTTGATCTATTTGGGGAAGTTATTAAAAATATAAAAATTACTACTGTTACTAAACATAATAAAATGGAATATTATTGGCAGAAAACAATTAGCTAAGTTAAATTTTTCTATAAGTAAATATCAAAGAAACAAAATTACAGGTCTATGTTTTATGAGACAAATTAATCCTATCTGTTATTGACCAGGTGCCTTTGAAGAAAATTAAATTTATCTATTAACACCCTTGCTTATCTTCGTAAGGGCTGATTTTGTTGTGTTGGTTTTATTAATGCCTGAGGTTGATGAACTCGAACATGCTAATACTCTTTGTAAACAAAATATAAATCACCAAGTTTGTTTTCAAGAATTTTCTGCCCTCTCTGGGCCACCTGTGCTTTCAAACAAGGCAGGCAATGGAGGGGTCTACACTCAGGAGGAGAACCCATGATCAGGGTCTGGTTTGGGAGTGATAGGGTAGCCCACATGGTCATTTCACTGTTAAACTGCTCTCACTAGCACAGGTGGTGTCTCTAGACAAAACTGCACCGGGTGGAGAGCTGTGGATAATGTTCAGTCAGATAATCAGCATTAGCTAACGGTGGCTGGGGGCAACTGAAGTGAATTAACTGCATTTACCACAGGAAACCAGTACCTATATTTTTTCCTTCACTTTATAAGCATTAACTTAAGGTCTCATGTATTCCTAATAGAAAAACAATAACAAAAGCACCAAATTTTATTTTCTGTATTTTATAATTTTCAACTTATTTTTAAATTCCATCACTGTTTGCTCTTAAGAGAAAAATATTTTATAGTTATACCTATCCATAATAAAGTAAAATACACAGCCACCTAAACAAATAAGCTGTATAAACAACTTGGAATGATACATGAAAAACATCTTCAAGTTTGTCATTATCTGGAGAAATTATGAAGATGATGAACACCCTTTAATGGGGTTTTTTTTCCACCTATTTAGGCATCTTAAAGATCAAAATAGAGTGTCCAATTCAAAAGTGAAAGAGAGAACAATCTCAGGTTCAATGACCCAAAAGGACAACCCACTCTCTTTTTTTGGTCAACCAGGAGTCCTTCATGAATTCTTTTATCCAACCATCATCTACTGCAAAATAAGACTTCCTTCTCCAGTATCCTTGGTAAGTCATTAATGCAGACTGATCACCACAGTTCCACACGGAAAAGCAAAATATTTCTTCACACACTTTTCACCTGTTCTTCAGGCAGTGAATTTTAATTTTCCATTTTACCTTTCATATCCTTCCTTTGTTCTGATACCAAAAATTACTTAGTCAGGTATACCTAGATATACGCAAGCACTTGTGAAGACCATAGACTGAAAGCTTAGTTCTTGAGGTAAAATCATTTTTAAAAGGAAGAAATAAAATGAACATAATTTTACTTGAAGATTTTTTTATTAGACTTGGTGTCAGTATCAAATATAATATGAAAATATATCAAAAGTTGGAGCAGAAAATCTAATATAGGGCCACTCTTCCTTTCAGAGAGGAATACAAAGCTCTGACCTTGGCCAGATACAGGTAAAAAGGTTAGATGGCTTTTAAATGCTAAAAATCAGACCATAATTAGGCAAAACCAAACTGGAGCAGCAATACTCACCAGCTGATTTCCAGAACATTCAACATTTACTGTGTATTTTCCATGCTTTCTGTCCATTCTGCCCCTGTCAATATCACAGGCTTAACTCCAAGACTATTTTTCAGTCTGTCCATTGCCCTTTCTTTATAACTGCAAACATGAGAAATAATTAAATCAATTTGTGCAAAATCACTATGATGAATCTGTGCACCATGGATTAAAGTAAATAATATGTAATTATTTATTAAAACAGGACCCACCTCAGAGGAGGAAATGAGGTAATTACAGGACGACTCAAGAAGATCAATAGTTCTGAGAGTTGTTTTGACTACCATCACAACTCTCCTGACAGAAACTGAAAATCTTGCATACTTCCTTCCGTTCTCTCTAGCCCTGTCTTGCTGAATCAGGACAAAAAATTCTGAGGTAGAAGTTTGCCATTATTTTCTATCTCCTCAAGCATGACTGGACCCCATCTCCTGTTAGCACCATGTCTTGGGAGCCTGTGGTCTTAAGATAGCTTCATCTTTCGGTTACACTTTTGGTGTCAGGAAATCCACTTGATCAGTTGCTTCAGTGATTCATACTCCCTAAAAAGGATTTTTAAAAAAAAATTTTTTTTTGTTTTTTCTCCGGTACCAGGAACCAAACTCACGACCTTGCACTTGCCAGGCAGGCGCTTTGCCGCTGAGCTAAATCCCCAGCCCCTAAGGATTAAAATTTTAAAAAATGATTGGAATCAACTTCCTGCAAAGTAATTTCAAAGAACTAATAGAATACTGAAACCTGGAAGAGATTTTTTTGGTCAATAAGTCTACTTTATCTTAAATTTAAAAAAATTAGTTCTTTTATTGTTTTATTGATTCATCAAGTGGGAATACTGAGTTTTTAAAATATTGAGTTTCAAAATTTTTAGTAGCTAGCAAAACAAACCCTGTCCTTAACCTTTTTATATGACACATTTGGATTCTAATTCTTTTTTCAAAATTGTAAACTGTTGAAATGTCTTGTGAACCTAGATTTTACTGAATCAGCTGGAGAAATACAGCCTCAAGCCTTAGAACATAAAGAGTATAAGAAACTGGCAAAGAATTGAGATGCTAGGCAAGGATTCATCCTAAAGGGCAATTTAAAACATGCTGACTTGCTATGGTGGGTGAAACTTGAAGACAAATAGCTATAGAAAGGCAAATACTGTAGAATTCCACTCCCATGAAGTGTCTAGAGTAATGAAATTCTTAGACACAAGTAGAATAGTGTTCGCCAGAAGCTGGAGGAAGTCAGAAAGAAAGGGCTCTTTAATGGGTCTAGAAGATGAAAAATTGTAAAGATGGATGGGTGATGGCTATACAACGTGATGAATGTACTTAACACCACGGAACTGTGCACTTAGAGTGGCTAAAAAGGTAACTTTATGAGTATTTTCCTACAATAAAAACATCCCATAAACAAGATTATAATAATTAGTCTTTCTCAAAACAGAAACCTCAGGTGAAAAACACATTAATGTTTTGATGTATCCCACTGACTATCTTAATTCCAAATTTAAAGTCTATTTATAAATTTTAAATGTAGTTATACTGACAGGATATGGTCTTTCATTTCATTGTTCCCAGCTGCATATTGAGCACCTCACAGATCCCAGGTATATCTACAATCTGGATACCAAATTAGCAGAGACTGAGGCAGATAAGGCCCCTCTATACTGTAGTTTTTATTTATTGAATGCTTGCTTTTTATTTTAACTTCATGCTTATTGAAAATGCTGCAAATGTGTTTAATCAAAGAAAACATTCGTTTTGTTTAATTTAAGGCAATTTTTTTGGTTATTTTGTTTTGTTTTTGTATGTTGGGAAAATTGGAGGAAGTACTTAATGGTAAACATATATTATATGAACACTTAATGGTAAACATGTGAAATAAGGGATTCCTTTATAACTCATCTCTAACCTGAGTCACTGAATTTATGACTTTTCTAGAGGCTGAGGTTCAATTTTAGGATGACCATTGTTATGTGAACATTCTTTCCCCTATTAAGCCAAAATTTTCCTTGGGCATTAGGCTAAATTACCCCTTGATCCTGATTTCTGGAGATATCCAAAATAAAACTATTTTTTCCTTAGAGCACAAGTTATAACCCTGACACACAATTCCAAAATCCAAAAGGCCTTAAAAACAGAAAATTTTAAATGTTGGAAAAATTATGTTTGACGGCAAAAGTTTCCTATATATTTAAGGCTTCTTTTAATCTTTATTAATTTTAATGTGATTATTCATGTGTCCAACTACAAAAATATAAATGCGTACTAAGGCTACTACCACATGACTTGAGTAATATACAGGATGTGTACCATAGTACCTTTATGAAGTTTTTTAAAATCTAAATTACAAAACATATCAGACTCAAGTGTTTCATATGAAAGATTATGGATTTACAGAAGTGGTACAACTTTTCAAAGACAAGTATGTTCTTTTTTCCCCCACTGTTCTCAAAAGCTATTTCATGAAAGATTTCAGTTAATAAGCTGACTCTTAGACTGGCATTTTAAGATTTGAATGAAAAAAAGAATGAAATAATATCTAGGTTCATCAGTGTAATAAATGCACCTTCTGATGGGGAACATTAACATTGGGGTGGTCTTGCAAGTCTGGGGACATCAAAACATATTTTCCTTCTTCATACCATTTACTCAACTTTGCTATGCATATAAAACTACTCTAAAAATAAAATCTACTTTAAAAATAACATAAGACTCATTTTTTCACTTTTTTAAGTGCATGTCTGTATTACACAATGTTTACATTCCTTAGGGGAGTTGGTTCACGTACAGAACACATCTCTATTCTTTTTTCATCCCCTACCCCACCTTTATCTTCCCTCTCCCTCTTTCTCTTGATCCCCTTCCCATTTGAAAAAGATCTATCTCCCTACTTTCTATTATCTACTTTTTATTTTGCTGTTTACTTATATTTTGTCTAATATAAATAAATATCTTGTGATATTGAAGCTTATTTGTCTGATTTATTTCACTCCATATTATGGTTTGATTATAGCAAATGGTGCTAACTTTGGGCAACCTCTGGCATAGATTTTATTAAAATAACATTATTGCCATTCTACAATGTTTATGCCTGTTCCAGTTGGTATACCACACCCTCAGCTAATCCTTGTAATACCTGCAAGCATTAAGTATTATTGTTCCCTCTTTTCTGATGAGACATGCAGGGTTTCAGTGACCTCTTACAAACCCTAATAGAAATAGTGAGTGACCCGAAGCTTCCTCATTCATTTATTGTTTACAGCTATTTATTATTTGTCTAATGTGTTCCACACTGTAACCTAAGAAGAATGAGGAGAAAAGGTCAAGGACAACCCAGAGTTTGCCTTGATTATAAAGACTGTGGAACTGTCAAAACTTTTGAGACCCTCGTCAAGATTGATTAGGGAAGTATGAATGTCTGTTAAAAGTAAGACTGGTGCTGTTGCCTGAAACAAGACCTGCTCACAAGAAGTGAAATGGCTGGAATTCACGATGTAACTAACAGCAAGGACATAGCAACTTTCAGGCTGGAGATACAGCTCATCCTCCACGCTGAGCCTACAAGTTCTGTCCAAGCATCTGGCAAATGTCAGGATGCTCCAGAACATGGGGTCAGCAATCAGTCACGCAAACCAGATCCTTTTCAGGATACCAGAGTCTTAGATCTGTGAGCCAAAGTTCAACTACCAAATAGACTGTATTTTGCAGCAATGGGCATGCCTGTGTGTGTGCCTACACACACACACACACACACACACACACACACACACACAAATAGGACAGAGCTCCAGACCTCATTTTTTAAAATATAGCGAATATACTGGTTAGTTATTAGGATAGGCATCTAGACTAGAAATCTAAAAAAATCTTAGACCTATAAGGTACTGTATTAGAAAGACATTGGGGTTTTTTAAAGTGTAGAACCAAACTGGATTATCAGATCCAGGGCCGAGATCGGGGTCAATTCTAAAACTTGGATTGAAATGGGACCCGTGAGCTTAGTGGTGAAAGACCACAGCCCTGTTCAGGGCTGCAGTTCCCTGGCTCAAGGTACAAGGCACAATCAGACCCAACACCCCCAGAGTTAAAAGTTAGGACTTTGTTTATTTCCTCAAACTCACTTGGCATCCCGACTGGGCTGGTACCAGATGAGAGCTATCGTAGAATTCCTGGCTGAATCAGGTTTGGACCTGGGATGATGATGGAAACTGCAAATCCATTTGCACCTTGGATTCTTACCCCTCAGTAGCCTGAAAGTTCTTTCCAAAATGTTGACCTATTTATAGACTCTCCTGCCAAGACCCCCAGTTCAAGTAGGATTAATGTCAAGATCCCCATTCCAAGTAGGGTAAAACCCCAAGCTTTTTCCATGGCCTACAAATCTCTGGATTTTCTGGCATTTGCCAACATCTTAAGCCACATCCTCTACTACACACAACATCCCACTCACACTTTAAGAACATATGATTTTAAAAGTTCAAATGTACAAGTACCTCTCTATCCTTAAAAAAGTAATCTGGCAAATAATCAAATTCCCATTTCCCAGCTTAAGAGAAGACAGTTTTTTGAGTACAATACACCCAACTCAGCACCTATTTCTGAGCATATTCCTCTCCGGCCCGTCTTGCCTGTCTTGCTAGGTATAATCATTCTCCTAATGGGATGTTGTACTACCCACTCTCTCACATTTTAAAATTTATATGAATCCTGTTACACTGCATTTTTCACAACATAGAAGGGGTTTGCACAGGGTACATGATTTTAAAATAACTACAAGGAAACGTGACTATGTCAATTTTCTCCATTTTATATTTCATTGATTAAATACATCACAATAGTAATCTATCCTGTTAATAAAAATTCAGTTTTGTTACTTTTTTATTATTATAAACAGTGCTCCTGCGAGCATTTTGATATATGCATTCTTTTCAACAATAATTAGCATATTTTAGATGTGTAATTAATAGTAAAATTCCTTCATTATAAGGTATGTGTTTTTCAACTTTATATTTCTAAAATTATTTCCCAGGTTGTACGAATATTCCCTCCCATAAAAATAACCATTTTTACAATTTTTTAACTTTGCTAATGTACATATAGT